TCAAGCAGAAGTGCCACAATAAATGTGAAAGCTCTGGGAAACTCAGAAAAGGGAAACCTCCCTCTAGAGGGACCTGTGTCTTGATAATGAAAGAAACCATAGTGAATAGCAGGGTGTGAATACTGTTTTCCTTTCTCTACCAAATGTTTCCAACAGTCCCGCCTGCCAAAATCAAACATTAGAAGTGTGAACTAAAGTCTAAACTAAATTTTGTGAGATTTACTTTTTTTTAAGTGATGGTAAAGAGCAAGAGGTCTCAAAAGAAAAAGAAGACAACATCCCAATTTACTCTCTCACCTCTGTCCAAAGAACTCAGAAGTTCAAACTATGCTTGTGGGCCAGAGAAACTCAACTATGTCAATTGCTGATCTCTACATTCTTTGACCATAGGGACTGGGTCTTCTTTTCTAGAACAGAACACAAAGCCTGGCACATCACACATACTTAATAAACATGTGCACAATAGTCATTGTTTGAGGACGCTAAGAAAAAGCTCTGTCTGCCTCTAGAATGAAGAATATTTATGTTTCACATGAACAATGCTTTTCTTTTCATCTCCTGGTCATTGTGGGCCAGGATGTCTGGGCTACTAAAGTGTTCTGAGAGCCAACTTGTGGCCCACATCTTTGCTGAGAGCCCCACTTCATCACTCCACCCTTGTTTTATAATTTCTCTCTAGTGATCTATCTCTTATCATTTATGTTTTTGACACCTATTTCTAGTATACTATGTGGCACATTAGAGACACTCAGTAAATATTGCCTGGAATTTTTGTACTTTTAACCCTTCTCTGAACTAAGACTCTTGTCTTTTTTATAAAAGAACAAATGAAGAACAAACCCTCCCCATGAGGTGGCCCTGAGAACTGACAGACCCCTTCCTAACACCGAGGCTGGGCAGTCCCTCGGCCAAACACGCCCCTCTACGGCCCCCACTCTTCCTCACATCTTTTTTTTTTAGGGTGAAGCCTGTCACTTTTCACTTCACACATGCCTAGTGAAGCATGTGCAAGCAGAGTCCAGCAGGCAGTTTCTCCAAATGTCCATCCGTCATGAGAATAAAACTAACTCTATTGATATAAAAGATTCTGAAAGTGAGGCTAAACAAAGAAAACATTCAGGCACTTTCCAAATTGGAGAGAAAAGGCAAATACTGGATCTTCATTGCCATGTAAGGGAAAGAACAAAGAGGAAAAGATGTCAGGACCCAGGTTTCTTCAGCCGGAGGGGGAAAGGTCATCCCTGTGGGGCTATCTCTGGGGTTTTCAATACTAAGGAGAATTTAAGGGATTTGGGAAAACAGTAAGGTTTATTAGCAAAACAGTATTAAGGAGAGAGATGTGAGTCTAAATCTTCCACTGAATGATTGACTGCGTCAGAGGTTTACTGGGTTTATATATCCATGTGTTAAAGCACAAAAGAAAAAATGACCTATTGTCATGGTAAAAAAAAATTACATATTTTGACTAGACAAGTATATATAAAATTATTACTCATATGTTCTTTTGCATTATATATCATGCAGAGTCTAAAATTTATATCTTTCCTATCCTACAGTTTCCACTTACAAAAAATGATCTAAAAATCCTGGGATTTTTATCTTTTCAATCTGTACATTTTTCCAAATAAGTGTAGATCACTTAGTAAAGTTTCCATTTGTTGAAATACATTCTATGTATTCTAAACCAATCACATAAAATTATCCTCTAAGCATGTGATGAAATCATAAGATCACCAAAACCTTCACTCTAAATTTATCCTGGCCCTGGGAATACATATGGCTATAGTTTGAGCCATAGAAATAGACACAGAATTCTACGTAGCATTCAGCCTAATGTCTGCCAGGACACAAAAAAACAAGGAAACACGAGATAAGAGCCATGGAACAGTACTGCCCAGTATAACCACAGAACTGGTAAGTTTGCCCTCCTTGGATATTTCATAGCTTAGAATGTGGCACTTGATTAAAGACTGTAGAAGATCATGTGGACAAATGTGATATTCTAGTAGGAAAATGTTAATGAAAACTTACTGAGGCTTTACTCATATTTGTCATTTAATCCCCACACAAACCCTGCCAGGAAGGCTCTGTTGACCCCATTACACAGATAAAGAAGTTGACCTGAGGGGCAAGTGACTTATTTATAGAAACACAGTAACACAGTAACCTGATCTCCTGAACACAAGTCAGGGGCTTTTTATACTACCTCACATGTTCATTACCACAAAAGAAGAACTCATCAGCAATAAACGTGAATGAATGATTGCCATATGGCAGAGTTTTCAGGGGTCAGTCACAGTCTAGTGGGAGCCAGTTAATGTGCTAAAAGGGGCTGGTGGCAAGGTCAGGAAGAGCTAGAGACACAAGGGCAGAGGAATCGCTCCGCACTAGCAGCGTGGGGCTGCGCCTCTATGTGCCACTGCCTTGAGGACCCAAGCCCGGCCATCCCTGCCCGATTTGGCCAGTCTAAACGTGCACATCTGAGACCCTGAATGGCTTGAAACCTTAAAAAGCAGTTCCTGTACTACAGCATTGCTGGACAGTCTCAAAAGTGATTTATATCTCATTTTATTTAGAAGACTCTTACCTAGTGACAGAATTATTGTCATTTCGCTAACAACCATTTCTTCAAAAATAATTAAAAGCCAAATCAATTCATAAGAGCATAAGAAAGGGGAAAACTCCATTTTTAATGGAATGCCATTTTTATGGAGACCATTTCAATAACTTAGTACTGTTTGCCACTGTAACTGCCTGCTATAAATTATCCTGATGCAAAAACATACAGATGCCTGATGCATTCATACTTTAATTTGGCTCTTTTTGAATTCAACCACAAATGGCTTGCCTGTGATTTTTTTCATGCTTTGCTTCAAAAACATCTTTTAAAATTGTAGAGACATGATCTGGGCAGCTTTAAAGAGGACAAAAATAAAGGTATCCCCATACTGCCTTAAATCCTGCTGATCTGAAAGGAATCCAACTAGTAGAAAATCTGTCTCATGGTAGTCACAGGCCAATTTTTATAGTAAGTTATAACCATTTAGAAATTCTGCTTTCTTGAAGATACCTTCAGATCCTTAATGTTGTGCTGGTACCAGCTCTCTGATGTACTTACATTTATGATTGTACTCACATTTATTCTTAGCTAATTAAATGTGAATGTGTCATCCAACTCTTATTCAATGTGTCATCCATTCCATATGAGAACATTACTTTAAGCCTGGCTCATGACAAATGCCAGCATGCTCATCCTCCATTCTTAACTAATCAAAGAATTTTCCTGCTCTTTATAGTCAAAAAGTCCAATGATTGCAGCACAGCTAACAAAGCAAAGTGCCTGGGTGTCCACTAATAAACCTAAGGGAAAAAAATAATCCAAACATACTCCATTAGCAAAACTCATTCCTTGTTTTCTTCCTGTGAAATGTACAGGGCTAAATTGTTCTAGAATTCCAGGATCCTACCCCAAACTTCCCATCAATGTATCTCAAAGTTCACCAGCAGCCCACTTCATCTGTGTCTCTACATACACTTGTGAGCTGTGTACTGCACAACCATAGGGGTACCAGACACATTGTAAAAGTCATAGATCAATATTTACAATCATAATCTATAAATTGGTAATAGCAGTAAAATATGTGGGGGGGGTCCTATAAGATCAGTGTATTATGCCAATTTTTCAACAGAAAATAAATGTTTTAAAGAGGAGGCATAGTTTTCTAATTCACACTGTTGATTAGCAGTGGTCTTGTCACAAAACAATTTAATTCAGATAAATGAGTTAAATTAATCATTTGATAATGTGTATAACAAGGAGCAGGGACTTTTTCTCCCCTATTAGGAGGCATTTATATAAAGAGGGGAAAGAGGTAAGAATCCACTTCTCTCCCAGAAAAATTACTTAAATTACTTTTTTTCCTAACTTTTTAAAAATCTAGATCCATTGTTATATCAATTTTGTCACTGCCCATTTATGGATCAAGAAAAGAGAGACATACAGATTTCATCTCCTCAGAGACTGCTTTTTAAATTAGGAAAAATGTATTCAAAAGTATATCCAATAATCAATCAAAAGAAAAACTACACAGTTCTTTCATTCCATTTGTATCCAGACAAGAGAAAGAAAGAGAGAGGACAGGAAGAGGGAAGGAAAGAAAAACACAAAGCAGGATAAAGGACAGGCAGGGCAGGGTAGAAAAGAGGGATATAAAGAAACCGTAGGACCAAAGCATATAGAAAGAAAAGAGAGACGGGGGTGGGGGTGGGGGGGAGGGACAGACACAGCAAGGAAGAGAAGAGGTGAAAAGATCAAAGGAAAGATATTGTTAAGGTCTCGGAGAAGCCCTCATTGAAGAGTAAACTTATTTGGTTCTGTTTTATTTTTCCTTGGTTTATGGAAAAATTTCCTTTGTTGTGTAACTGGGCATGAACTATTCATCACAGTTCTAACTATTCAATATCCCTACACTTCCCAAGATCCCTTCACGCAGCTCACCAGAGGTATAGCTGCTTTCTTGACTGCAGTTGCAAGGTGAGCAAAGTGACTTGGCAGAATAAATTAAGCCAAGCCAAAAAGATTTTCTTTCCTTGACAAAACAGATAGTTTTTCATTGTATGTGGACAGCCGTGGATGAATGAAAGTCAGAAAGGTCGACACACTGATTTCATGGAAAAGTGTGTTCAACAGGGAATAACTAAAACGCACCATGCTTACTAGCTATGGTGAAAAGAATCCATTAAAGTCTTCCAACTGTAATCAGTAATTAAACTACATATGGTGGAGCTATCAAGCTACATAAAACACTGTTTTAATCAGTGTGTGAGGTCTGAGGGTCTCCGGGGGCTCTAGTTTGAATATGAAAAGAATAACCCTCATTGTTATTTCATAGATCATTAAATTGGCCTCAATCTCCCACCCACTCCTAATCCCAGATACACGGAGAGGGACTGGGGGAGAGAGAATATCTTCCAGTGACAGTTTATTTCATTTCCCACAGTGCTCCTATATTCCTAAGTGTGGAAAAAATTTTGAAGAATCCACGTCCCTAGTGAATGTTGTCATGGAAAACTTCAGGAAGTACCAACACTTCTCCTGCTATTCTGACCCAGAAGGAAACCAGAAGAGCGTCATCCTAACCAAACTCTACAGCTCCAACGTGCTGTTCCATTCGCTCTTCTGGCCAACGTGTATGATGGCTGGGGGTGTGGCGATCGTTGCCATGGTGAAACTCACACAGTACCTCTCCCTGCTCTGTGAGAGGATCCAACGGATCAATAGATAAATGCAAAATGGATGAGATTATTTTCTTTAAAGCGCAAATACTGTTTTCTTTCATTCTTCACCAAAGAACCTTAAGTTTGTAATGTGCAGTCTGTTATGAGTTCCTTAATATATTCTTATTATGTAGAGCAATAATGCAAAAGCTGTTCTATATGCAAACATGATGTCTTTATTATTCAGGAGAAGAACTGACTGTTTTGTGTTGATTGGTTATTTTCATAATCTTGTTTTGATGCTGGAACTAGTACTTCCTTCTCTCACTCTGCCAAAATGAGGCTCAGTTATTCATTTGCCAAGTTTTGTGGAGGAATGTAGACAGTATCAGTGTGATAAGGTCTGTGTTCTGAATTGTCAGATCTCTTGAAGACATTTCTGCAATATTTTTCATCATTCATTGTTTACTAACGCTGCAGCCAAAAATATTTTTTCTTTTCTTACTCAATACTGAGCCCTGTAGCAAGTGAAGGGACCAGATTTCCTAACTAAAGGAGGTTAAGCATTTTCCTTGTATTCCTACCATATCACTGTAAAGAAGGGAGAAACCCAGCCAGCTATTTTTCTTTCATTACTTTCTATTCATAACCTCAGATTTTTTAACTGATTTCCAAAAAATATGCTGTTTTCATTAACCAATTCTATAATATCTTCCTGTGGTTTAAATAGAAAATGAATAGAACCTTTTTCATATAAGACCCTGCTACTGTGTAAGGAGACAACATTTATAAGGAGTTTCATTATCTGAGAACTCACTGAATGTTGATAGATGCTCCATTACAATCCAGGAAAGTCTGTGTTACTAAGATATGTGTGTGAAAATCTTTATTCCATTTCAACTAAATTGTTAGATGGTAAAATTAAGGTCCTACTCGCTGGTCAAGACTGGTGGACTGATTTCAGTGGATAGATCTATTGTGGCAAGTTAACATATTGGAATATTGTTCTTTGTGAATTTATGTTTAAGTTAATGAATGTGTAGTCTCTTTTTCTGACAAGTGTTCCCTAATGGGATTTTAAAACTATGTGCACAGAATATTGTCTCCTCTACATGTTTTATTTTTCTATTTACAATTCCCTTTTTTGTTGCTAGATTTTGTACACTGAATAGACTTTTTTTCTTAACATACATTTGAACTGAATAAGAGATTTAAAGGAAGCTTTTGTTCATATTGCCATTTACTTATTGTGTTGTGAGTGGGGAGGGGGGTGGGGAGAGGTTGGTTTTAAACAAAAACATTTCATCTTTTATTTAACACCAATATCACAAGGAGAAGATAAACATCTATCTTTCTCATCTATATTTAAGTACCTTTTTGTAACGTAGTATCAAAGTTTTCTAGGTATTGCAAAATTTTACAAATTGTGTTTGTGGAATGAGTGGTGAACCTAACCTGATAAAGTGAAAAGTATTCTGCAATATTGTAATCCATAGCTCAACTTTTCATAAGCCAATAAATCCCTAGGGTGTAATCAGGACTTCAAATGTGTAATTAAAATTTTTTTTAGGAATCCATTACATCAGCAAGATTTGAATATCTCTTGCATTTCAAGATAACAAGAGCAGGATAGTACAAAGATCTATGATGTTAAAGGTATTCAAAAAGATTATAGAGAAAGTTCCTTTTTTAACCCTCAAACACATATACACAATATTATGAATATCTGGGAACTATGACAGAAAATATGATTCCTACTCTAACTTAAGTACACAATTCTGAAGACAGTTGAGAAATCTTTGTGACTACAGAGCTGAAAATTTGTAATTTTTAATGTTCCATTGGCTTTCCTTCAAATAATCCAAGAGTGAAACATATGCAAGTGAAATTATTAGATGAGTTATTCTGTATTTTCCTCTGATTTTTAATTAGAAATTCCTAACTGATGTTTCAGATAAGAATGTAGAAAGTTCAAAATAATGACACTAATAAGTTAACTAGTGCCTCTTGAATTCCAATAAAGCAAGAGCCTCTTCAAGTAATTTAAATGTATATCCAATTAAATGCTCATTATTAAGGAAAAAGAACTAGGACTAATAATGTTTTTAAATGCTTGAACATGTTAACTGATTTAATCTTTATAATAACTCTATTAAAGGGAGCACTATTATTATCCCATCCAACAGGTGAGAATATGGAGGCTCAGAGATGTTAAGTAACTTCTCCAAAGTTATACAGATACAAGATGTTGGAGAGCTGAGAAAATACTGAGCCTATAGCTTTCCCATTAGGGTCGCCATTTCCACGGCTTTGGAGTCTTTCAGATAACCTTAAGGGATGCTGAGGTTTGAAAGGGATCATAGGAGTGAAAAGGAAAGAGCATTGGACTGGAGTCAAAAGATTTCATTCAAGAAATGGTGACTAGGTAACTTTGGACGCCTCAGTTAGTCTTTTGACTTGTTTGACTGTAAAATTAGAATATGAGGCCAATTAATTGCTAAGGTCTCTTTTAACACTAACATTTCATCTTAAGAAGGAAGGATGAATACCTTTCTCCAGCCTTCAGAACACAAGTTTGATTCTCAAATACAATCTACATGTATTAGTCCATGGATTAAAAAGCCTGATCATCTTCCTCATAAGCTATTTGCTTCTTATTTAGGGCCCAAATCTTTATTTACACCTGCTAGAACCAGAGCTTTGAATCTCCATATTATACAACAAGGATGATTTTCCCCACAGAATATCTGTGCTCCTAAATCACTTTCATTTTCCAGTTGGCACATCCCATCTAAAACTGTATTGATTTCAGATTCCCTGAGACACAATTATATTAAAATCCAGAAAATGGTAAATACACAAACAATATGAGCAACTGACTCAAATGAGTTAAAACAGTAGTTTTAAAGGAATGATTTGTTATTCACAGGCATAATTAAATTTCCTCTCTTCATCCACCAAAATGCTGAAATGAACAAAGTTCAAAAAAGTAAGGTAATTCTCATTTTCCTGGTGGGAAAAAGGACTAAATATTAGACATTGTTACCTCTCTCCTCAACTTCTCCTATTTTCCCCTTTCCCCTTATACAACAATTCATTAAGGACAATCTCACAGTTCTGCAGTAACCATTCCAATGTATGTACCATGTGGGAAATTCGACTCTAACCAAACGCACGTCTCAGCTGCTGTAGCTAACCTCTAGCAATACTGAGAAGAAAGCAGAGTTCAGACTGGGGACTCATACTTCATGTTAAATATATCCCTTCCTTTCCAAAGCTGTGACAGATACAGAATTTGTTGTCCATGCTACACTTGGGTCCATCTCTAGAAAGTTATAATCAGCTGGGAAATTTCAGCTCTCCTCAAAAAAGATGGGCTCTAAATAGTTTGGGCATCTCAGCGGAAACCCCAGGAGCCAGGTCTAGCTGAGCCAGTCAAGGCTACTGACAGCCAACTGGTTTTGTGCTGCACCAACAAGGGTTTTCCAGCTCTCAGTTCCTTTAAATATGTTACACTATCTGGCTGAATAAATAACCCTTTGAATACTAACAACCCTCAAGTTAGCTTGGCAAACGTCCAAGACTGCTCAGAAGATTGCAGTTGGTGTATTTGAGGAGCCACATTTCCAAATCATCCAACAGTGGAGATCAGCAACTGTCTCCATCTTTACAAATGAAGCATTTTAGTAGCTGAGTAGCCTGAGAAATGGCCAGCATTTACCACTACACTCAGCTCAGCACAGCCCCACGGAGAACTGGCACAAAGGAGTCCTTTGGAAGTCTGAGTAAAGCCAGCAGCTTATTTTACTTCTGACAACAATGTGGTCTGTGATTCCTGAACAGCAGCCACTGGGAAAACTACAAGCTGCCTTCACATGGTCATTCCCCCCTTTTCCACTTCTATTTTGTATAAAGCAGTAAGTCAAACCCAGCCCAACCCTGGCATCTGCAGGCAGCAAAACCTGATAAGAGGAGGAGGTTTTCATTCAGTAATCAACTATAACCCAGCCTGAGTTCTGCCTTTGTTTAGGAAGACGTACACCCCAAGAAGTAGTAATATTTGCTGCTGTAGGTGACTTCAATCCTGGAAGGAATGGCCCTTCACGTCCCTGTCCCACTGTCATCCCCACACCAGTTATGCTTCAGCCATCTAATCAATGGCCATTCTCAATGTTCCAACTTCTTTCACACCTCTGGGCTTTTGCATTTACCGCCTCCTCTGCCTGAGACTCCCTTCTTCAATCTCCCTTCTATGGGGCTGGCTAATCGCACTCATCCCTTAAGATTCTGCTTGAACTTCATCTGTACCAGGAGGTTTTTCCTGAGCTTCCCAGGCTCAAGCAAGGTGCCTATCTTCTATGCTTCAGTAATACCCCATTGCACCCCTCTACTAGCACTACCACTATCTATCTATTATTGTCTATTACAGTATCCATCTTATCACCCCATACTATAGTCTTGGTTTATTTCTCTGATAATCCTACAAGATTCTTGAAGATACGAATTTATTTTTATTCATCACTGTTTTATTTTGTTGTTATATTCTCTCATCTAATCCAATACAATTCCTGGACTACAGGAGGGGTTCAATAAATGTTATTTAAATGGATATATGAATAATTGAATTATTAATAAAAAGTAGGCAAATTAAGTAGATTTCTCTGTCTTGTGACCTGAAGATCATCCCACACAACAAAATACCTGAAAAGCCACCATTAGAGATCTGTTCTTTTTACTGTAGATTCTTGTGACCTGGCAGTAAAATTGTAAATGGCCCTAGACAATGCTCTTTCTCAGCCAATAATTCCTCCACACACTAATGTACCCCAGGACTATCCATCACCACAGAAACCCAAGATCAAGCCTACAGGGGTGCATAACAGGTAAGTTCTGATGGGAGACAGTTGGAAACTTAAGCTTATAGAATGAAATACTGCCCAAGAAGGGGAAGGTAGTGTAAATAAGTGATAAGCATACAGACTTTGGAATTATTCAGACCTGCACTTGAATCCTGGTTCTCCCACTCACTAACTGTAAGATTTGGGGAAATAAACATACTTATGCTTCAGTTTCTTTATCTGGAAAATGGAAATAGTAATATCCAAATCATAAGATTAAATGTGATCATATAAAATGCTTAGCAAAATATTGAGCATATAATGAACACGCGCAAAATGGCAGCAGTTGTCTTATGATGATTAATGATAAAAGACAGAGGATATTATTTTTTTGGACGAAGCACAGAGTTTGTAGGCAAAGGTAAGATGATGGATATAGCATGGGTGATTGAAGTTTCCTAAGATGAACTTTATCTATCCTACTAGACTGGTCCCAGCCTTAGCACTGCCAAATGAGATCCCATAATGAAGGTCAGGGCTGGGGAGATCTGAATGTGTATGGGGAGACAATGGATTGATTTGAGATATCATATCCCATGTTCCCCAGTGTCTTTGGAGGGGAAACCTCTGAAGGGGTTTCCTGTCCATTCCCCCAAGTGGTGAGAGAAAGGATTCAGTCCCTGTATCAAATCTCAACTAGCCAGTGCATGAAATCCCAGAAACCCTTTTAAAAAGAAAGGCATAGGAGGCTGAGTGAACAAGTACCTGAGCTTCAGGGCTCCAGAGAGCCACCCATAAAAGAAATGAGGGATGCAGGGAGAGACACAGAGGAGGGTAGAGTGTGGAGGCACACACTTGAACCAGAGATACCAAGGCTCCATTCAAGAGTTCCAGAGACTGGAACTGAGTTCCTGTTTCTCCCTAGAAAAGAGTCAAGAAACTGTCTGCAATTAACCACACACCTTATTGAAGTACGACATTTTTACACCAGGGGTTATGACACTTATTTTGACTTGAGTCTAAGAACATAAACATGAGCTAAAACTTAGAAAATAAACTGTCTATTCCTACTTTCTCCAATTTCCAGCAAACTGGAAAGATTAAAAAGAAAATGACATAATATATGGCTAAATATCATCACACTAGAAATATTCTTATTCTCCCAAAAAGGAAAGGATGGTTGTGGGTGGAATACTATCTGCATTCAGAAAAACAAATCGATTGTTCAGAAGTCTGTTCCACAGCACTTCAGGAGTCCACACACATGCATGCACGCACACTTCTGGGAGAAACAGCTTGTCTGAGTTTGTCATCAGGCAGGGCACGCCTGCTTCCCGACTGAGTCATTATCAGTAGTGGCACTGTTCTAGCCACTTTAAAGAGGGGAAAGAAGATAAAGGACAGAATCCCACAAACTCTCCCTTCTCACAATTAAGTTATAACCTGACTTCTATCACAATTAAAATGAAATAAGCAAATTCTGGTGATCAAAGAAAAGGATCAGCATGGTGATGTTTTTCTGCCTAAAATAAAATCATCATACTCAGAATCAGTATAATTGACTGGGAGTTAATTAAAATAGCACAAAACTGAAGAAACACAACACAGAGGGTGTCCTGCCATAATCTGGGATCATTTTTTCCCACTATCACTTACCATATGCTTACAGAAGTGGGAAAGCAAATTGTCCATCACAGCAAAACATGACAAGCTCCCTCCAGCTCTCTGCATGTGCGAGCTGCCCTTCCGTCTGTCCAACCAAGTTCTGGCGGTGGCCTCAGGGCTGTTACAAGGGCTTGACTCACTTATACATATGTGACATTGTCAGGGTTTTTTTTCCCCAAATAGAGACAGTATGCCACAAATCCTGTAATAAAATATGTCACAATTCTGGGACATTTTCCAAATCTCTGTGTCATCTCCCTGACAAATAAGAGAAGGGATGTGGGTTTGTTAAAATATTGGCTAGAAAATAGGTGGCTGTGTCCTGACGTGACTGACAGTACTGTTTGGGGAGTGCCTTCCCCAGAGCACAAAAGGCGGAAGAGGAAAACCTCCAGAAGATTTGCTGTAGGCATTTAGGATGTCCACTGAACATAGTGAATTATTACAACCTAGAACTTAATTCTATAGAGTTAGATTGGATGCTTCGCATGTAGGCAAGCATAATGAAAAGGGAGACATCCATGGGGCAAGTTATAGAGAAATGAATGGGCCCAGAAAAATGACTGAGCCTAAGCTGAGCCTCCACGAATTCACCTGCAAAGCAATAACTGCTTTGAAAATGGGATTTGGGGTGGCTTATGCCTGTGTCCAGTCACTATGTTAAATGTCAGTCCAACTATCAGCAAACATGTAGAAATTTCAGAAAAGAATATTATACATCATGATTAGACATGTGCCAGATTTCTGCAAAGTAATAGAGACATACATAACATGAGGAAGATGTGATACCTCCTTCAAAAAAAAAAATCTTTTCTAGAGAGGCCCTATGTCACTCAATATAGATATACAAACACATTTTGGGAGGGACAGTGTGGTGTGACAGGAGGAGCACTGAACATGGAGCCTCAGCTCTTCCCAGCGGCAGCTAAGGGAGAAGCCACCCAGCCTCTCCCTGTGCCCCCATTTCTCCCTTACTGATGATGGCATGCGTATCTTTCCTATCAGATGTTTATAATGAAGACCAAATGAGGTAATGTGCATGAAAATATTTCATCTACTTTCCACAGCCATTTTTCCCTTTTTTCAAGGAATTCTGTCCATGCTTAGGGCCTTAA